TTGGGCCAGTGAAGCAACGTCCTCCACAACTAGACTGAAGAACAAAAGGACAGCAACTTGTCTGTTCCCCTTCCCCCAATTCCCCATCACTGTTCTTATCCCCCCAATTCCCCAATAAAAAAAAATCTTAAAAAAAGATAAGGTTATTTGACTTACTCCATTTTAAATATTATGCAGTTATGAAACAAAGTTTTTAAGTGGAGAATACAGAGTTATAAAACAAAAACCCACCATTTGCAATGAACAAATGTAGATATTTTGGCATTTTTACTGCAGCTATTCTGTTTAAAGAAGTTAAAACATTACACATAGAATTCCACTGTGTTTTTTTTTAACTCCCCAGTCTCATTCTCCCTTCTTTTGTCCTTCAGAGGCAACCAGTATCCTGAAGTCTTTGTGTATCATTCTCGTTTGTGTATTTACACTTCTACAAACATGTTTCTCCCCATATAGATAATATCTAGTACTATTTTTGGATTTAAAATTTTTACATAAATAACATTATTCGTGTAACATTTTACCCAATTATTTATTAACAAACATTCAAGCTATCTCAAAATATACCCTTGCTTCTATAAACAATGCTGCAAAATAATGCCCACATGCTGTGTATGTCCTTTACAACAATTTATCTGGGATATCAGCTTCCATCCGACCAGATATTGCCAGATATGACATTAAGAGGGTTGTGCTAACATACGCCGACACCAGCCATGTGTGACAATTCCCAAAATCTTCACTTGCTATTAGACTTGGTATTAGACTTCACTTGATATTAGGCTTAATTTTTTACTCACCCTTACGGGCACAAATGAGCATGTCTTAACTGGTTTAAACGTGCATTTTACTGATTACATCGAATTCAAAATGGTTTTCATACGTACTTGCTATTCAGGATGCTTCTGCTATATAGAAATACTGTTTGCACATTTTTCTATTCATTCAGTGGCTTTTTTTTCCCCTCCTTAGGAAAACCATCCGTTTCTATATTACCGGGAAATACTAAGACAACTTGCTTCCGTCCTTTCCTTTTCTCCTTTCCTTTTTCCCCAGCTTGGACTCAAACACTGGCTGACCAAGG